AGTATAGTACAGTTTGAATAAATGTTTAATTCATATCTAATAATGAAATAGAAGTAAATTTAACACCTTGCCTTGAAAAAATGTCACATGACTTGATGGGGGAAGGTGGTTTTGAGGTTACTCTGTTGTTAATGCAGGAGCTGAGAGTCGTCATCATCATCATCATCATCATCATCTTCAGGTGCAGTTGTGGTTACAGGGTTAGGGTGAAAAATAATTAATCCAGAAGTGGATGACTGTGGTTCATTGTCTTCTGACTGTTTCTTGAGGGTTGCCTTAAAATCCATCCAATTTTTGCTTTGCTCTTTTTCTTCTTTCATGAAGAAGCTGTTCATAGGGAGCCAAATAAGATCTTATTCCATGAACTGCTGCCCTGCCACATTCTGCATCATAATCATTGTCCTCTAAAAGCTGCAATTGCTTCTCAATTTCCCTTAGGATAGAGGACAAAACGTAAGTGGAAAGCTCTCATGGTGCTGCATCCTGGACTTCTTTATCTTCATCTCCAGTTTCCACTTCCCCCTCAGCGACAAGCTGTTATAGATCTGCTGTAGAGAGGTATTCTCAGTGGGACTCAAGCGACATCTTGAGTTCTCCAACATCCTCACTCTCCATTTCTTCAAATCCAACTGGCGTTGCAAGATCAACACAATTTTTGGAATCTCCTCTTACGGATCAAAGCCTTTAAAATCTTGAAAAAAATCTGGGAGAAGTTTCCACCAAACCACATGCAAGCAGTCTTTACTGACATCACCCCAGGCCTCCACGATAATGTCAATTGTATTCTTGATGCTAAAGTTCTTCCAAAATTGAAGAACACTGTCCTTATCACCCTCAGTAGCTGCAATCAGCCTCTTAAATGCGTGCCTTAAATAACAAGCTTTAAAAGCTGCTATTACACCCTGGTCCATGGGTTGAAGGAGAGAGGTTGTGTTTGGGGGTAGAAAAAGCACTTTGATGTTTTCAGAAAGCTCACAAATGGTGGGAGGATGGCTTGGCACATTATCCAGGATGAGGAGAATCTTGAAATCCAATTTTTTTTCCTGCAATACTTTCTAAAAACATCTTCCAAAACATCACTAGCAAGTTCAGAAAAAAATTGCCTCCGCATTTGTTCCACACTCCCCACCAACCACTCCAACCTGCCCAGTACCTTCCTCTGTAACTGTAAAAGATGCAATACCTGCCCACACACGACCTCCCTCACCTCCACCAGGGTCCTAAACTATCCTTCCAAGTGAGATGGAGCTTCATCTGCATCTCCTCCAACCCAGTCTCCTGCATCCGGTTCTCCTGATGTGGCCTTCTCTATGTTGGTGAGACCAAACGTAGACTAGGGTGACCGTTTCACTGAGTATCTCTGCCTGGCCCATAACAGCCAACCTAACCTCCTGGTCACCGCCCATTTCAACTGCGCCCCCCCCCACCTCCGACATGTCCGTCCTCGGCCTCCTCCAGGGTCACAGCGACTCAGAACACAAATTTGAGGAACAACACCTCATCTTCCATCTGGGCACCCCACAGCCCGGACGACTCAACAGTGAGTCAATTTTCAAATAACCTTCCCACCCATCCCCCGGCTCCCTTTCCAGCCCCAGCTCCTCCCTTCCATTCCACCTTCTGGCCCTCCCTTCCAGCCACCAGCTGGATTCATCCTTCCCAACGACCAACCAGGTTGTACCTATTACCAGTGTCCACCTATCACCACCATTCTAACACCCCGCTCCCCCTCTCTTTATCTGCAGCTCCCCCTACCCCTACATCCAGTCCTGAAGAAGGGTGATACCCGAAACATTAACCTTTCCTTCCCTCCAGATGCTGCCTGGCCTGCTGTGTTCTTCCGGTTTCCTGTATGCCTCCCTTGGATTCCAGTATCTGCAGGTTTTTTTTTGTCACCAACCTCTTTTATTTGACCTAAAGTTGATGCCTAGAGTAGTCTTAAGGTAACCTTTCAAGGCTCGCGGGTTGGTAGAGCCACAGGCTTAAGCTTTAAGTCGCCACTGGCATTGGCCCCAGCAGCACAGTCATACGATCCTTTGCCACCTTAAAGCCTGGAGCATGTGCTTCATTCATAGAAATGTAGGTTGTTGATGGCATTCACTTCCAGTATAAACCTGTCTCATCCAAATTGAAAATTTGATCTAAGTTGTAGCCTTCTATGTCAATTTTTTTTTACTGTGGGAGGAAATGCCATCGCATGCTCCTTGTTTGCACTGGCAGCTTCACCACATAACTTTATGTTATGAAAAGCACAGCAGTTCTTTAAAACCAGCAAACCAGCCACTGCTAGCACTAAAGGCAGGCACATCTGCAGGATTTTCAGCATTTTTTTGTTAGGTCTTCATAAATTGATAAGGCTTTCTCTTTTATGCTGAGAAGGGTGGTCCCAGATTGTTTTTTTCATTTGATCTTCTATCCATACATTTAGAAGCTGCTCCAACTCCTCAAGTTCATCTGTCCATGACCTCACAGATTTGCTAGCACTCAGACTTGATCCAACAATGCAGCTTGCTTTAATCTTTTCTGCATTGTCTCTGACAGTGCGTAAGGTAGACTCCTCTATTGCTGTTACGCAAACTATGTCACATGTTCTTTCATTACACTCAAAATGCTTTATAACATCAAGCTTCTCTTCCGGTGTTATAGCCCTTCCAACAATTTTATCACTGAGACACTTCTTGCTAACATTCTTGTCACTTTGTCCTGTCATTTTTGTGGGTGACACGACAGAATTTGCAAAAACCAAATGAAAATTACAGAGTACTGTACCTCTCATAGAAGGCGTGATGCCAGTGTGGAGACACTTTTTGGCGCTAACTTTGCGTGTGCTCAGGACAGAGCCCGCAAAATGATCATGTGATGCCAGCGCATCCTCCTCCACGCACCAATGGAATCGCATTATAGCCAACACAACTTCACGTTTTAGAAATAGCGTTCTGCTATTCGTCAGTCACTTTATAGCCAATTCACATTGCCGGAACATGCACTGTAGCAGAGCCAACTGTATAACGAGGTCAGCCAGGTGGATTTCATAGATTATGGGTTCCCTGATTAGGCCTGTTAATCTGGTCCAATCAGGGAGCCTTGGCTGACAGACATTAACAGGAGTGTCAGGGGTTCTGCTCACTCTGAGAGCTGGCTCTGAGGGTGCCGGATCAGTGCCAAAGACTTTCCACATGTAAATGAAGGGTGACTTGGTGACAGGATACCAGCCTCTATTTCAGATACCTCATCCCCTTTGAGTCACAAACCATTCCAATCCTGATTTTGAATAAATTTCCTCTCTGTACACCCATCTCACATTAGTTACTTGCCCTATCCTCAGACATATGACCCTTTCAATAGGGGTCGGGGTCCAAGAGCAGGACATATGATGGTTTGTGGATTTGTGTACATCCATGTGACTCAATCAGAGAGATTGGCGTACCATGATAACCAAGACAAGATCCCGAGATTTTCCTTTATAATGGGAGTTGGCGCTGCTGCAGAGTAAAATCCTTTCATAGAAAAGTTGAGGAACCCTTTTTGGTGAGAGGTTGGGCCACATCTGGGTCTGGAAATTGTGTGGGAAGTTGGCAGTGCATAGTCAAAAAATGAATAATCATTATTTAGATGAAAAACCATTTAGATGAATCTTGGTACATATAACATAAACCATTGGTCATTTTGATAATTAGACTCTAACGACGCATTATGTACAAGAATGAAATTAAAGTGCTTCTCTTTTTATTGCCACCTTGGTTTTAATATGAATATTGCAGTTGGTCACCCCTCCTTACAAACTCATCAAGGTCCTTCTCTCGTTTACAAAGATGCTACCGGACCTGTAAAGTACTTCCAGTATTTTTTGGTTTTGTTTCAGATTCCCAGTACCTGCGGTATTCTGTTGTTACAAGAGATAAGGCATGTTAAAACTATCCTGCCTGATAATGGCCCCCCTCATCAAATTGTTGTTCACTGTATATTCCACAAACTCCTGAAAGGACAAATATCCATCACTTTCTATCCATCACTGAGAATGCCCCATCTTCCTCAGGTTAATGTGGAAGCAGAGGACTTTGCAAAAATTTGAACAGTGCATGAAGCTGACTGAATCATATAACTAATTGTAGTAAACCCAAGGATAGCTTGCTCCACTAACAGGGTGTTGCCATCAAGCCACAAAGAGGGTCAGCCTGCTATTCAGATAAATAATATGGTCTATGAATTTCAGTACTGGTGTGATAACAATGCTTGGTAGGCCATATGAAATAACATGCCCCTTTGACTGCTTGCAGTGGGCAGTGTGCCAACCAGACTCAACCATCCCGTGCTTGCAAACCCTGGAGTGCCTAGTCCAACATTAGGTGCGATTCTGCTATTGGACAGCATTTATTAAATAATCCAGAGTTCACTAAAAATTACAACAGATGCCAGTTTAAGAACAGTCTGAATCGCAGGTGTGATGCATTTGCATGCACTAGAAGCAACATATCTCCACACACAGGATCCTGTTCTATGTAGGTGATAGCAATTTGTCCAGACATTATGCCTTTTTAATTGAGAAAAGGCTGACAGAGATTGCCCATTCTGCTGCATTCCCCTGCCCCTGCCAAATCTATCTGCCTGCTCTAAGTTTTCTCAGCTATCTAAGATTTACAGTTTATAGTGCATCTCCATGTCAACAATATTCCAACAAACCAGTACCTTTTCCTCACATGTAAATTGGAGCTCTCCTTCCATGTTTGGTTTTCTTGAGAGTTAGTCCTGATGGGTGCCTTTGACCTTATGCGCATTTTTAGCAATGTTTTGTCTTGTCGAAATAAGTGCAGTTTTGCTGTGATCTCAAACACAGGGCTGAAATTTATCCTGGTCTCCTCATTGTAAAGGCCAGAGATGAGCCTGCCTCTGAGTGGCCACAACCCTCCCCTCCCTTCTACACATTTACGTGGGTTGAGGCAGGATGACTGCTCCTGACCGTGACACCATCACGTGGCTCAGATTGTCACGTGATCATCAGAATGATCAGCAGCTCTCACGTCCCAGCAGTGCCCCCCAATGACTGGCGACCCCAGCTGGGATTGCAGAAAGACGGGGAGGAGGGCATTCAGTGTTGGGGTCAGGCTGGCAGGCTAAGTGAAAGGGCTGAAGGTCGTGGTTGGAGAATGATGGGAAATTCTGGCAAGCGTGCAATGGGCACTCACCCACCCATCCACCCAGCCCAGCACCATCAGCAGACCTGGGAGAGGCACCGAAATGGCCATTCACTGATCCATGGGTGAGCAGGATGCCCACTGTGCTGTCCTAATGGGAATGAGTTTGGGCAAGGCCAGGAGCACAGCACTGCTGGCCTGATCTCCAGTTTGTTAGAGTCGTACCTGGTTGTGGCTGTTGGAGGTCAGTCATCTCAGCTCCACGGCATCTCTGCAGGAGTTCCTCAGGGTTAGTGTCCTAGGCCTGACCATCTTCAGCTGTTTCAGCAATCACCTTCCTTCCATCAGAGTGCCAGGGTCAGGGATGTCTCAGAGTAGCTTCAGGGCATTCTGAAGGGGCTGGTGAACTGCCAGCAGTGATGGCACATGTCGGTACCAACAACATGGGTAAAAGAAGGAAGAGGTTCTACAGCAGGAATTTAGGGAATTTAGGTTAAAGGGGAGGACTAGTAAGGTTGTAAACCCAGTGCTACGCGTTAGGGTAGAAGAATAGGAAAATAGGTCAATTGAACGCATGCCTAAAGGGATGGTGTAGGAGGGAGATCTTAAGATGTTTGGATCATTGGTAGAGTTTTTGGGGTAGGAGGGACCTATATAAGCCAAAAGGGTTGCATGAACTGGAATGGAAGCGACATCCTTTACAGGGAGAGTCGAATCAGAGATAGTAGGAACTGCAGATGCTGGAGAATCCGAGACAACAAGGTGCA